TCCTTGGTCATTGTCCAACTCTCTGATGCATAACAAGTGATTGTGAAGACCATGGCCTGTATCAGATGCACCTTAGTCTCCAGAGAGACACCATTCAATCTTAATCCTATCTTACACCATGCTCATGTTCTCCACCATATTCAAACTCATTGTTATATTTTCTGTGGCAAACTCTCTTGTTGAGGGTCTTCTATCACTGACTGTCCACATTCTTCAACATTATGCCGTTTTTTTCCAAGGACTGACACTTCCTGGCAGCATAACTATTATTTATCGATGCTGGCAAAAAAAAAAAAAAAAAAAAACAAAACACCAAAAACAAAATAAAACAACCCCCCCAAAAAAACCTCCAAAAACTTACATGTAAAGAATGTGAGCTTGAGGAATATGCCATAGTAAAATCATTTTGGTGTCAACAATGAGCCAATGAGACTACAACATACAGTTACTACAGCTGTTACTGGAATTTATTATTTAGATAAAATTAAAGAGTAAAAGGATATGAATAAAACTATTATTTGTAATATATTTCACAAGGCTCATCATTCACATTATCTCATTTAATTCTTACAAACCTCAGACAAATATGTGGTACACTTATTAGTTTACACACTGATAGAAGCCATGGTAGCACAATGATTAAGTACACCTGCTAACTAAAAGTTAAGTGGTTGGAAGCTACCTGATGCTCAAAGGGGGAAAGATGTGGCAATTTGTTTTTGTAAAGATTGCAGCCTTGGAAACCCAACAGGACAATTCCACATAGGGTTACTATGAGTCAGAATAAACTTAGAAACCACAGGTGTAGTTCTTGATAGAAAGGTCAACTATCTTGCTCAAAGCAACAAAGTTAGAAACCAATATTCTAAATTCTATGCTTCACCTGCTGTGAAATAACTGTTTTTCAACAATTACTATTCAGGAATCAAAAGCTTATGGAGTCACTGAAATCTCATTTATCTTACATATGCCTAGGTAATAAACATAATTAAAATCTAATTTCTAAGAGGGATTGGTTCTTGGAGAGGGACATCATGTTTGGCAGAGTGGAGGGGTGGTGAAGGAGAGGAAGCCTTTGATGAGATGAATTGATTCTGTGACTGGAGTGGTGGGAATGAGTGTGTTTGAGATGGCTAGGTTGTCACAGGATAGAACAGCATTTAGAGCTCTTGTACATAGGGTTGCTATGAGTCACAAGCGACCCGATGGCACATAACAACAACAACAGCAACAACATTCTGTTTAATTATTCCATAAATTCCTCTGCTTGAGCTACTGGTTTGGCTGTTAATTGAAGAGTTGGCTGCTTGAATCTAACACCTATTCTGAGGCACTCTATTGCCACCTAGATAAACAGTTTTAGAAACCTGAAGGAAGGTCACCATGAGTTAGTATAGACTCAACAGCAGTGAGTTTTCTCTTTGTTTTCAGTTTGGGGTTTGTTGAAGAATTGAAGATACTAGAAATTTCTTCAACCAGTAATTTATTCCCAAGCATCCACATATGTTGTTGTTGTTGTTATGTGCCGTCGTGCAATTCATAGCAACTCTGTGTGCGATAGCTCTGACGCCTGTCTTGTCCTCAGACAGTCTCACTGACTTCGACATACCTAACCACATTATCTTAATTACTGTGTCAATCCATCTTATCCTGGGTTTTCCTCTCCTGCTCTGTCCCTCCACCTTTCCGAGCATGATGTCTTCTTTCTCCAAGAACTGGTCCTTTCTGGCCACATGCTCAAAGTATGTGAGATGGAGCTTCAAAATCCTAGCCTCCAAGGAGAAACTTGGTTTCAGCCTCTCCAAGACAGACCTATTGGATTTCTTGGTTGTCCATGGTATGTTCAAGATTCTTCCCCAGCACCACAATTTAAAAGCATCATTTTTTTTCTGTTATCCTTAGTCATTGTACAGCTTTATGGTGCATAGCAAGTAATTGCAAAGAATTGCTTGAATCAGGTACACCTTAGTCTCTAGACTGACATCCTTGCTCTTCTTCTTCTCTGGAGAGGTCTCTGACAGCAGGTTTTCCCAGTACCATTCATCTTTTTATTTCCTCACTGCTGGTGCCAAGAGTGTTGATTGTGGAGACAAGTAAGCTGTAATTGTTAACAACCTCAATCTCCTCTCCATCACATTCCCCCTCATAAAACCCAGCCTCCTGAATGATCTGTTCTGCATATAGATTGAAAAGATACAGAAACAGGACACATCCCTGACACTGTGCTTTCCTGATTTTGAACCATGAAATGTCCCCTTGCTCTGTTCTGAGGACTGATTCTTTGTCTGAGTATAGGTTTCACATGGGCACAACTGAGTGTTCTGGACTCCCATTCTCCTCAAGATTCGCCACTATTTGTTGTGATGCACACAGTCAAATGCCTTTATATAGTTAATGAAACACAGATAAACACATATACACAAAGGGAAAAAAAAAGATAACTTGTGTCATAGAGTTTATCTTCAGTTGTATGTTCAGTCAGTCATCTAAATTTACTATTTTATTTTTAAATCTCACCCTGGATATCTGGCAAAATTAGTTAATATTTTTAAAACATGCTCAGAAAATTGAATGTAACTTATTATCATACACCTCAAATCTGAAGATAATTTATGTGGTGAGAAATGTACTAAGAAGATTCAAGACTATACCTGAGTACATCTATCCATGTAGCTTAAGACATTGGCCTTCATAACAAATGATTCTCCTCGAACAACTGAATAGGGAAATGTGATCTCTAAAAAGAAGGGCTGAAAAGCTGTCAGGGAAACAGTTGGGGAGATGCCAAACCCAGCTTCCTCATCTAGGCAGAATCCATTGGCTTTCCATTTTGTGATGGTATCAGGAACAGTAAGAGGAAGACTGGCTTTCCCTGTGGAGCTAAAGGAGAAAATTCAAATGGCATTGAAGAGAGGCTGTCATATACCGCATTTACTCAAAGATTATATCCTTCATTTTGATTATTTGTGACTCTGTTAACCTAAAATACACAATGTATTCTCTTCATTTTTCTTCTTTTCAATCCTTTAGAAGTTTTTTAATGTGCTGTTAGGTGCCATTTCAGTCAATTTTGACTCATTGTAGCCCCACCTCACAAAGTGGAACAGACGCCTAAGATTTTCTTGGGTGTTATCTTTATGGAATCAGATCAACAAATCTTTCTTGCGTGGAACTCCTTAGTGAATTTGAGCCATCAGCCTTTGAGTTAACAGTCAAGTATATTTGACTGTTGTTCTACCAGAACTCGTTTTTGTCAATAAAGACGCTCCTTTTCTGTAAATATGTCCAATGTACCTTTTCCTTTACCTTTGACTTACTTTAGATTGTATGTCAGCACTTAGTTCTGAGAGCTTATCTTTTTTTACTTTCTTTTAAATCTAATTGATTCTCTAACTTTTATGATCCCTACTAAAGTATAAATTATTGTACCACTTGACATTAATCTTAGAATAATCAAAATATATGAATTAATGACTTTTAAAATTTATAGGACATACATAAATTCTTACTTAGTTTAATATGGCATTCTTGCATAGTAGAAGTGGTTTAAAGAACTTGGATCTCATTGACATGTTAGAGGTTAGAGGTCATCTGGAGACCTCTAGTGGCTTAATGGTAGGAGTTGCACTGCAAATCAAATGGCATGCAGCTCGAATCCCCTGGCTGCTTAGCAGAAGAAAGATTGCCTATTTTGTCCTGTGTAATTTGCTGCTGCCTCTGAAAACTTGCTGGAGGATCACTTACTAGTTGGTTCTGACTCCATAGGATAAAACAATAATGGAGATTACTCAAAGCAAAGGTCTGGTGATGTAGTTAAAAAAAAAAAAAAGATCAAGCCAGCCATTAAAACCCCCAAGGAACACAGCTGTCCTTTGACACACATGAGGTGTCTAGAGTTGGAACAGACTCCATGGCAACTGGTAACTAGGAAATTTAATTTACTTATAAAATATTTTTGCTACATTTATCCGACTTCACTAATGAAACAACATCTCTATAATGTAGTTATCAAGTTTAAAAGTTCACCTTAGTCTTATATTTGAATTTATTATGGCACTATAATGGTTAATATTGTATGTCAAAATAGTCAGGATATTGAATTTAATTTCTTTGTGTACATTTGAATCTTGAACAATAAGGAAGACCAAAGATGAACAGATATATTTGACCTGTGGTGTTGACAAAAAGCATTGGACATACGTGGACTGTCAAAAGAGCAAGCAAATCTATTTTGGAGGAAGTGCAAGCTGGGTGCTTGGAAGAGTACTTGGAAAAACCCATCATGCTGAGAAAGGTAGAGGTCCAGTGTATCTATTTGACACATAGCCTCCAGACTTGATCCAGTGCCTATTGTGCTTGCCTGCCTTGGACTTACCAGCTTTCAGTACCAGCTGACAGCTGACTGTGATCATTCTCTCCTGGATGACATTTAGATATGTCAACCACCATGTCCTTCGATATCTCTCTCTCTCTCTGTGTGTGTGTGTGTGCGTGTGTGTGTGTGTGTGTGTGTGTACACTTGGCAATTCCAAAGGCATGCATTTCAAGGCCATAAGGCCACTAGCTACTCTACAAAAAGAAGGATGGGCAATCTCCTTCCGTGTGATTAACTGCCTCTGAAAACCCACTGGAGGGTCAGCTATGCAGCTACAGTTTGGTTCTGACTCTAGGATACACAACAATAAATAGATGATAGAAGATAGATAGATAGATAGATAGATAGATAGATAGATAGATATTGAGAGAGAGATACAGATACATATATAGAGAGAGAGAGATAATTGTTGTTATGTGCCATTGAGTTATCTGTGACTCATAGAGATCCTATGTACAACAGCTCTTAAGCCTGCCCTGTCTTGAGCCAGTTACACTAACTTTGACACACCTACCTCCATTGTCCCAGTTACCATATCAATCCATCTGCTCTGGGGTCCTCCTCTCCTATGCTATCCCTCCACCCTTCCAAACATAATGTCCTTCTCTGAGTACCAGTCCTCCTGGCCACATGCCCAAATCATGTTAGACAGAGTGTCAAAATCCTAGCCTCCAAGAAGAAACTTGGTTTCAGCCTATCCAAGACAGACTTATCTGTTTTCTTGGCAGTCCGTGGTATGTTTGAGATTCTTCTCCAGCACCACAAATCAAAGGAGTCTATTCTTCTTCTATCATCTTTAGTCACTGCCCAGATCTCTGACACATAGCAAGTAATTGTGAAGACCATGGCCTGGATCCAGGCAACTATATATACCTATGTAATTGTAGTTAAGCAATATTGACTAGGAAATGACTCATAACTGACCCTCTAGTGGGTTAGATAACCACACAGGAAATTGTCCATATTTCTCCTGAGGAAAAAACCATGTGTCTTTGAGTTGACAGCACGGCTTTTTTCTTACCACTAGGCCACCAGACCCATGCCAGATACATATATATGTATGTATGTATATATGTGTATACATACAAGTAAGGCACTGTTGTTGTTGTTGTTATTATGTGCCATTGAGTCACTTGCGACTCATAGCCACCCTATGTACAAGAGTTCTAAACCATTCTCTATCCTGTGCCAACCTTATTGTCTCTGGAACACCTACCCCCATTAACCCAATCACTGAATCAATCCATCTCATCGAGGGTCTTCCTCTCCTGTGCTGTCCCTCCAACCTCCCAAGCATAAAGTCCCTCTCCAAGGACCAGTCCCTCCTTGTTAATATGTCTAAAGTATGTTAGACAAAACTTCAGAATCCTTGCCCCCAAGGAGCATCTTGGGCTCACCCTCTCCAGGTAGAAACTGTTTGTTCTCTTAGCAGTCCATGGTATATTCAGCAATCTTCTCCAGCACCACAGCTCAAATGCATCAATTCTCTTACTATCATCCCTAGTCATTGCTAAATATAAATTTGGATACAGATATAAGTACAAATATAGATATACAGGAGAGGAAATTAACTATAAATCTATCTACATATCATCTACCCACCTATCTACCATCTGTCTTTGTCTAATGAACCTAGCCTTCCTTACTTAGAAACTAATCCATCCCAGTTTTCTTTTTCTCCATTTCCACCTCCTTTTCATTATTTTTTACTTTCCTCAACTCTTGTTTCCTCTAAATTTTGTTCCCTCTTCTTTTTTTCTTTTTTACATAAATATGTATTTCTTTAATATTATGTTTCCATTCAATGAGCTCCAATTGACTTTCTTTCAACTACTGTAGATTCTTCCAAAAATTAAAGATTAGGGTAAAGCGGTAGAAAAATAAAGAGAAATAGAAAAACATGGAGACAGTGACAGGAAGAAAAGAAAGTTTGTAGTAGAAAATTTTCAGAGACTCCTTAGGATTTTTGACATACAATCCTAATGTTCAGACTTAGGATACATTTATTTTGATAAGACTGACAAATAGTCATTAACATAATGCTTTACTTGTATAGGAAAAAAATGCATATAAACTGTAAGACAAAAACTCACTCTGTTGTAATAAGATTCCAAATCCAGGTTTCAGGAAATGCTTTCCGTACAGAATTTGTGTACAACTGAGATTTAAATGCTCGAGAATCTTCAGCAAACAAATTATCATTTGGTTGTGAAGAGATATCTAGAGGAAGACAAAACAAAAAGGAAGAAAAGTAAACTATTTCATGGTATGAAAATCAATGTATACAAACTTTGTAAATAAACCAGTAAAAAAAAAAATTTTTTTCAAAAGTAAACAATTTCATATATCCCGTGCAATGAAATGTGCAAGGGGTTGGAGTCGGAAAATCAAAAGGGCTGAACTCGCTCAGCATATCTTAAGCTCAAGGAACTGAAGAACAAATTCAAACCTCGAGTTGCTATAATCAAGGATG